CTTCTCAAAACTCGTTACTAATTCTCACGCCGGAGGTACAACGGGGGAGAAAGCCCCAACCTCATTTTGCAGGTAGCAACCACCAACTAGAGCAACCGGACCACCGTATTCATCAAGGCGAACACGGAGGTCTACCTTGCTACTATTTCATCACCTATTTTTGTTTTGAACAACTAAAAATGAATTGGTCCACGACTTTGATCATAAAATAAGTAGTACATATTTTTTTATGTAATTCTACAATGAAAATAATATTTTTTTCTCGAGTGAAGTGACTTGTAATTTTTTGATATTTATTTGCTTAATTTTATAGATCGTAGTTTGTTCAATTTTTCAAGTGTTATGAATTCTCTTTAATTAGAGTTAAAAGTTATAAATTTTATTTTCTATTTATAAAGTTAGATTTATTTTTTATTTTTTGGTGATTTATTTAGAAGTTATCTTGTTTTATTTTAGTTGTATAAAATTTAATAAATCTCTTTAACGCAATGTCCTCAATTAAGTTTAAAATATTATAAATTCTAATGAATTTTGTAAATTCAAATAGATTTCCAAATAATCTTTAAAAATCTCATTAAAAATATTGAAATTTTAAAAAAGGTTGTTAGGTGTATTTTAAACTTGAAATCAATCAAGATCTTTTAAAGTCGCTTTATTAATGAAATCATTATAAATTCATGAATTAGCGAGGATATCTAAATTTGAAATCCATCGAGGGGTATTCAAATGAAAATTTTAAAGTCGTTTTATTCCATTCACGTTTCGAAATTTTCACGCCAATAGGATATTACGTAGATCTACAAAGAAACCAATTATAGAGCTAGAAATCCTAAGTGAAGATTGAGAATGGGAATGATCTAAGTGGGAATGAAATGATCAAGTTTCTATCCCACTATAAAATTATGTTGTGCATAATTTATTTACTTTTTATATTAAATTGTGAAAATATTGGCATGAAATCCGTACTGAAAGTATTCGTATGATCATTCCATATTTAAAATCTTTTTCCAGATACTTGATTGATTGGAGTTCGAGGTTGAGATTACTGACAAAATTATCTTGCAGTGAGAATTTTATTTCAAAATTATTTTGCAAACATTCGTATGTTGGATTAATGTTTAGCATTGTTAATATGTTGAACCTTTAAAAAGTAAACGATGAAGCAATATATCAAAATTTAAATAAATTAGTCTCTAGAATAATTTTATCTTCTTTTTTTTTTCCATCCAATTTTTTATAAAAAGATCAATTTGTAATTAAGCATATGTTTGGAGCCATTCTTAGCAATTTTTTAGTAAAATTCCTACCATTATACAGTAATATCAGTCACCTATTTTGACCAAGCCAAGCAGAATTTTGACATTGGAGTCAATAATTAGGGCTCAAACGGCCAGAATTTTGATTAAAATCAAGAAAGAATTGCGCCCAGACAAACACTAAATATTGTTCATGTTTGGTAGATAATAAAATTCATATTTTAATTTAAGTCAAAATTAACAATTAATTTTTGTACCATATATATTTTATGGGATCTAGAACTTTTAACCGTGCATTTCATCAATTTTTATTAAAATCTACTAAAAATATGATTTTTATTCTCTACAAAACAGGGGTAGTTTATAAATTTTATAAACCTCCCCCTTCTAAGTGAGAACTTCTTATCGTTGCACTAAATCTGCTTGAATTTTATTTTACATGAAAGTTTTCAAAAGTTTTATAAATTTTATAGAAGTCTATAAAATCTTAAAAATGAAAATCTATAAAAATCTGCGAAAAACTTTCATTAATTTCATAAAAATCTATAGAAGTGCATCGCTTAAGAAAAGTCGATAAAAATCCTAATTATATACACTCCCCTAAGTTCTCAGTTCAAGATACCTATATTTTAACGAATTTTAATAAAAGCGAAAAACTTCAATTAATTTCATAAAAATTTATAAAAGTTCACCACTTAAAAAGGTCTATAAAAAATTAAAAATCCTAATTAAATACACACCCCTAGGTGGGGACACCTAAATTTTAATACTCATATAAATATATAAAATAGAATTTGTTCAGATCTTAGGAATCCTATTAAAATTGAATTATGCTTCTTGTACATCACCCCTTACACAAGGGGACATAATGGCCAGTGGCTCCTCCTCATTGGAGGGGCGTGCTTCTTGTACATCACTTCTTACACAAGGGGTGACATAATGGAGGGTGATATACCCCTAGCAAGACCGATTAAAATTTTATTGAAATTTGTGATAATTTATAAAGAGAAATGCTAGAGGAGCATAAAGATTCACATAAAACGTCATGTGGGGCCTTAGCGCCTCTCCAATGAGGAGGAGCCACTTGACCATTATGTCACCCCTTGTGTAAGGGGTGATGTACCCCTAGCAAGATCAATTAAAATTTTATTGAAATTTGTGATAATTTATAAAGAGAAATGCTAGAGTTCATAAAGATTCACATAAAACGCCCCCAATAGGGAGCTGCCATTTGGCAGTTGTGTCAAATACTATATCAATACTTATGTTCATCTAGCATTTCTCATTTATAAATATCAAGAAATTCATTGAACCGGATCCCCTGAAAATATTAATAAATTTATGACCAAAAAAATAAAAATAAATTTAATTTGACACGTGTATAAACTATTTATAAATATTTAACTCATTTTTTATTCACATTTTGGAGGATTCGCAAATATTGAGAAGTCAAGTCCTAAAATCAATATTCTACAATTCGAAATCGAGTTTTAAAATCAATTCCCAATAATCTAAAGTTGTGTTATCTTTAATAAATATTCGAAGTAGAAAAATGGAGACTTTAGGGGACGACGGCATACTTCCGAATACGAAATCCGAGTCCGAGGAACTGGAGCAGGGGTTTCCATCCACTGATTCGCACACCGAAGATGTTTTGATAGAGAAATTGGAAAATGCAGTGCTAAATGATACGCATAACGATGGCCAAAAGGACGTCGGTAGTCTCTATGGTGGTGGACTGATGCCTCTGCGACCGTATGCAGGTGATTGCCCCCATTTTATTCGGACGGGGTCTTGTAAGTTTGGACTCGATTGCAGGTACAATCACCCCGACAAAAGGACCCAGACTCAGACTCAGGTATGTTTGCGATTTTAGCTAGGGCTTTTTTGTATTTTGAAAATCTATGTTTTTTAAGTATTTTTTCTTATCATATTATTAATGTTATGATGATTTTCTGTATGTTGAAGGTTGCTAACGATCTAGACAAGGATGTAATTCCTGAAGATTCTGGCCCGATTGAGTGCAAGGTTAATAGATTTATCATTTTCCTTATCCATATGTAGGTATCAAGTTTATTAGACTTCGCGTCTTTCTAATCAATGTTTAAAACGTTACAATTGGGAAAGTGATGCAGAAGGCTCAGTTAAGCCTCTATAAATTGAAGGTTAAGCCTTGACCAACGGTACTCAAACGTAAAGTTAGCGTTTAAAGCCTAATGTGAGGAATCTCTCAAGGCATAAGCCTTAAACAGGTTTTTAAAAAAATAATTCTAATCTCAAATTTTTGGGAGGGCTATGGATTTTTCTTCCGTTATTATATAGGCAAAATAATGTTCGCAGTTATGCTTTCCTTTTTTTTCTGCTGACATTCATTTTCAGTTGTTGCTTTAACTTGAAATCAATTTTTCCTTCATGTTAAAAGCTGACCATTGCACATACAATACATCTATTGTCTCTGCTTACATATTCTCTGGCTTGAAAAATCTAAGAAATAGATATTCTACAGTAACTGTGAACACGGTTGCTTTGTTACTTTTTTTCAGTATTACCGAACAGCCGAGGGGTGCAAGTATGGAAAATCTTGCAGATACTGGCACCATGGAGAAGAGTCTCAAAATATTGTTCCTGAGCTTAACTTCTTAGGTTTGCCAATACGATTGGTAATGCTGCATCTTATATCTCTTCCCATGGTTATTTCTGTTTTCGATCATTACTCGAGGTTCTTCTTTGAAGCTAATTGCATTTTACTTTTGATTAGGGAGAAAAAGAGTGTCCCTTCTACATGCGTAATGGTACCTGCGGATATGGATCTCGTTGCGTATTTAACCATCCTGATCCTACTCCAATGACAGGGATGGGATCTCCCAACTCATCAGTGGATGAAAAATTTGGGAGACAGTTAAGCCATCCTTTAGAAAAGCATAATAGTCTTCCAATTAATTTTTCAGGAGCTTCACAACCGGATCAAGCGTCCAGGTTTTTTTACTCATTGTCTGATAACACCATTTCCTACCCGAACAGCCACTCATCTTATGTGACTCCACATACACCTCCTCAACAGATGCAAAAACAATCTGAATGGAATGGATGTCAGGTTGCTCATTCTTGTTCTCTCACTGAAGCTTTCCTCTTTTATTTCTTTGAGATGAAATTGCTACTTTTATTTCTAATTCAGTTCACCTTTATATCATTCACGTTTCCTTTTCTTCTCTTCATGCTATGTGCATTTTCAGTTCCGTGATGCAATCTTGTGCTTGCTTATGTTCCCAAATTCATGATTATACCGATGTTAATTGTGACACAGAGGTACATTTAAAGGCGTTATAGATACACTCATATGGTAAATCTGATTAGTCCTTGGTATGATATGTCTTCATCAACTTTAAACTGTGTGACATGCAGCTCAACAGCATAAATGTTTTGTCATTTATATACGAGTTCATGAAAACTGCGTGCAATTCTGCAATGGCATCAAGTGGACGCTACTCTCACATTGAGACGGAACCACTCTGAATCTCGAGTTTTTTCTTGCTTTCATTTTCTGTTTGGTGTTACTAATTGTTCTTGGGAGTACTGATGAACGAACTGTCTAATTATTTAGCACCACCGTCGATTGTTTTCTAACAGCAGCTATTGTTAAATAAGAGTTAGTTGATTGGTTTTTTTCCTTTTCTTTTCTAAGAAATTTAAGGTCCTGATACAATACAGATTCTGCTAAGTTGGAGAATTCATACCTTATTCTCATTGTCTGCAATTATAACTGACTACTTTGAGAGAAAAATGGTGCCTCAAACCTGGCTTTCATCCACATATTGTGTAATACATAATTTTTAGCATCATGACAGTGGATGAGTTTAATGCTATCTCGCATTAGCTGGGATGGACATTTCCAGTTTTATAGTATGCTTGAATTTATCCTCAATCTCCCTCCTATTTGTGATATTTGTTTATTTATTTTTTGGGGCATTATAATCGGGCTTAATTTCTTTTAATTCTCAAACCCCCCCACCCCCCTATCTTTTACTCTCCTCCACCCTTTTGTTCTAAACGTATTCTATTGCTGTTCAAAAAGTTGGTGACATATTGTATGCCTACTTCTGCTTTTGTCAATACGTACTCAGGCTCCGAATTCCCATCAGAGTGGGAATTATCGTGCAACTCCTTCTGCAGATAACCCCCTGAGAAAATCATACATTTCTATGCAAGATGAGGAATTTCCTGAACGTCCAGGTCAGCCCGAATGCGATTATTTCGTGAAAACTGGGAATTGCAAATTTAGATCTGCATGTCGATACCACCATCCAAAGGATAGGAAACCTAGGCCAGATGAACGTGTTCTTTCTGAGAAAGGCCTGCCATTGAGACCCGTAAGTTAAATTATTTATGTTGTCCTTTGAACTTATTTTGGGTGTTAATGTTACTGTTTTGAGTACCTCAATTTTCTCCCTCATCACGTGTTTGAAAGGTTGCCAAAAAAGCACATTATCCATTACTGAGATTCTGGTTCTGAGGCTTTGGGTGGGGCTATGGGAGGCAACCTCATGTTGATAGAAGCAAGTATATTTGTGGGAGAAGTTATAAGAGTTTGTATTAGCATTATTTCATAAAGATACAGACAAAATATATTTATAGAAATTTTTTCCTCAAATAGCCTCCATTGCAAAAGTGAAAACTGTGCTCACTCAATCTGTAAATAAGGAAAATTTCTCACATTTTTAGGTACGTCCATGATTGTTCTATGGAACAGTCTATATCAATAGAGGGATATTTTCTCAAATAGGTTAAGAATTGGGGTTTAGAAATACCTCGGAAGAAATATAGGCACAGCGTGTAAATCTCATGTGAACTCAGAGGAAAATTTGAATGCTCATGTAGCTAACAACCCCGTTCATAATCTCCTTAGACCAATTCCCTCTTTCGATTTACAACAAGATAGGCTACACTAGGAAACTTAATTTGATACGATAGACATGTAAACAAAGTTACTTACTCTTAATTTTTTTTAAACATAGCCAAGTATGCTCTATTTTTTTCAGCAAATGATTTTTTATTTATTTTGTCTTGATTGCATAGCACTTATGTTAGACGTTCAATTTGAACAAAAACTACTTCAAAAATTGAGTGGTGCAAGACTTTTCTTCTCGATTTGATGAAATCTGCAATGCTCTTTGAGAGTGAACAAAAAAATAAAAATATTTATGCTTGTATTTTTGTTATGTTTTGATCATTATTATATGGATAATAATCTCGTATGAACTCAAAGAGACTTCGGATGTAAAAGACCTATATACTGTTTCTGGAAAATTGAATTTGCACAATTGAATGCCTGGACCTATGACTATTAAACAACTAAAACATATATTTTCTGCTTAAGGTTACTCAACCTGGGTCATAAAGGGAATTCTTGGATTATCATCTTTTGAATTTGATTATTTAGCTTTCTATGTTCATAGTTTTTCGTTCAACTTTAATCTCTATACAGGGTAGAAGTATTTGCCGACATTATGAACGTCACGGTGACTGCAAGTTCGGGAGTGAATGTCTATTTGACCATCCCGTTGGCTTGTCAACATATCCGGATTGGCATGCTTCGAAGACTTATGCTGACTCTGATGCTGGATCCTGGGGTGATTAGAATCACTGTAGTTGGAAATTTTTGGCACTGTAATTTTATGGTTCACTACGGGAAACAAAGCTGTTTACTTTGAATCACCCTGATAGACTATTTTATATAGTTTTTACATAGAACTACATCAAGCGAACAAAGATAAACTGATGTTAGGAAAATTTTGCGGGCTATCATTTGGAATGCAGAAATCAAGGTAAAACATTGCTCATGTAATGTTTCATTGAGGTTTCTATAGGGAGAGACTACTCTCTAAATCTATCTTGTTTGCATAGTTTGTACATGTGAAACTTGTTCTATTGTCTTCTAAGAGTAGTTGCTGACACGATATGAAACGTGTTTTTAAATATCTGAATAACTTGTAACATTACAACTGCCTCTCATTCCCTTGACATTTTATCCTGATCTGCTTACTGGGATATTATTGTCCGTCGATGCCATGTTTTCCTGATTCATAGATCCAAATGCACTAAATTTTCAGAAACAGCAAAGCCACTTCTTCTGCATTATAAAAACAAAATCTTACTAAACACGTCACAAATGTCTATAAGATTGAGATGTTCCAACAATTACCTTTTGGGGGTAGTCGTAAGATCCGTGCGGTTGAGAAACGTTTTCGACCATCGATGCTCCAGCAGCAGTTACGGTGGCTTTCTTTTCATCTCTGGCCTTGGCAAATATGACTGTAAATCCATCGGCCGAGGCTGGATTATTCACATCCCATTCACCAAATTTTGGCAATGGCCGACCTTGCTGTCAATTAAAATTTTACATGATGAATTCGTTCCAGAAACAAACCTCGGACGTAGAATTTGAGGATAAATTTATATGATCATCAAACGAAATAAGAATTCGCATTCAATGCAACGAAATCTTCATGCAATCAGCATTTGATCATATGCAAAATGATAAAATTGCGAGAAAAAGAAAACTTACAGACGTCATTAAAGATTACTGTTCTACGAAATGAATTTTTAACAGAGAGAGAGAGAGACATGAATATGGCTACAAGACTCTCTATAAATGGAGAACGAGATGAGGAATTTGTATTAGTTGTTGCACCCAACTAATCCACCCTGTAAATATTATTAAATGGAAGCTTCATACGTATGTTTTGAAAATTTTGGTAACACGAAATGATGCCATCGCTGGGAGTCAGATTAGAATTAGATCAATAGGAGACTAACGCGGTGCTACATTCAGATCAATTTGCCTATAAATTCGTTGGGGGGTCGTTCGCGACTCTTGTATTTGAAAAGGCAAGACTATTTTTCAATCAAATGGTGAAATTCGTTTTCCTCATGTGACATTTTCCATGGAATTCGTTGCAATCAAACAGGGCTTAAAATGTAAAAAAGCCGAAAAATGTAGAATGTGTCTCGTTAGACCGTGACCCATCCTATCTCATGGTTGACTCTAAACCCTGTGGGGGAGGTGGTGCTTGAAATTGAGCTTGCATGGGGGCGCTAACTTGACCATATATTGCCCAGTATCTACTGTAGTCCATGTCGCTTCGTGAGTGTCAATTGTGCGATTACCTTAGAAATGTAATAGGAAAATAGGTGACTAAAGATAACACAAATGATCGATTGTAATTGAATTAAAGTGAAATTGTTTCGGACTTGTAAATGAAGCAGAACTTTTGTTTTCAATGCAAGAGATTGACATTTGCGCCGCACATAACGAAACGATCATTCTCGTAGTAATGTCACCCCAAATTACGACGACATCGAAATTGAAAATAATTAGACAAAATTTCTAGTTAATTGAGTGATCAACTTTGCTACATGTACGTTATGGATGATATTAAGTTTTAACATTGTTTGATGTAGCAGCAATCACGACCATTGATTTTAATAAACACACTCCTTCATATCACTGTAAAGTTTCTTAAACATAGGGAATGTCATCCACAATGTACAAAAAACAATGTACAGATAGGTTAATTTTTGAGAGATTATTGAGGAAGGCCTAGTCACTTTTTGCTCTTTCTTTTTGTGATGGTCGAGAGGAAATAGTGGATATAGCGAGTATTGAAGGCAGGACGAGAACGATGTACTAGTTAAGTTCTAGAGATTAATTTGAAATTTAAGTAAAAATTTAGAAGAAAATAATAACTTTCACGTGGCGTGGTAACGAGTTGCTTAAATATTGTTATTATTCTTCTCTGTCCTAATTTTTTTAAATGTATCAATCGATCCTCATGTGATCGGAATTATCCATTTGAACGTTAAAATCTCTGACTTTTACGTAAAATAAAGCTATAAGGCAATATCATTAAACAATTTAACATATTTTTTCTTGAGTTGTGCTTCTTGTAAATCAAGTGTTACATCAGGGTGTCCATAATGGACACATCAGGGTGTCCATAATGGACACCCTACACAATCCTATTGGATGGAGTGCATGTGGTTGTGCTTCTTGTACATCAAGTGTTACATCAGGGTGTCCATAATGGACACCCTGCACAATCCTATTGGATGGAGTGCATGTGGGACATGCACTCCATCCAATAGGATTGTGCAGAAATGGACACCCTTATGTAACACTTGATGTACTTCTAGTATTTCTCTTTTTTCTTTTCAACTAAAAGTTGCTTGTGACTTTGACGATTTTCGCACAAGAGGACCAAATTCATGGATTTATGGAGATTGTGGACTTATAACAACAATGCGTCAA